AAGGAAGACTTTCTCTCTGCCTTCTCTCTGTCTCCCTCTCTCACTGGCGTGCGGCCATTGGAGGATAAATAAAAAGAAAGAAAGAAAGAAAGAAAGAAAGAAAGAAAGAAAGAAAGAAAGAAAGAAAGAAAGAAAGAAAGAAGGAAGGAAGGAAGGAAGGAAGGAAGGAAGGAAGGAAGGAAGGAAGGAAGGAAGGAAGGAAGGAAGGAAGGAAGGAGGAAAGGAAGGAAAGGAAGAAGGAAAGGAAGGAAGAAAAGGAAGGAAGGAAGGAAGGAGGAAAGGAAGGAAGGAAGGAAGGAAGGAAGGAAGGAAGGAAGGAAGGAAGGAAGGAAGGAAGGAAGGAAGAAAGAAAGAAAGAAAGAAAGAAAGAAAGAAAGAAAGAAAGAAAGAAAGAAAGAAAGAAAGAAAGAAAGAAAGAAAGAAAGAAAGAAAGAAGAGTCTTAACAAAGAATGGGATGGAAGAGGGAGTAGGAGATGGCATGGGAATGGGGGTGAGAGTATGGGTATGGAGGGAAGAACCACTATATTCCTAAAGTTGTACCTATGAAACTTGCATTCATTAAATAAAAGCTTTTATGAGAAGAATCAAGTAGTATTGATTACAGTTAGATCATTCTCCATATGTAGTGTTGGCATCACTTGCATGTCTCTTTCTAAATTAGTTTTCTTAAGAGACTTTTCAGGTGTAGCCTCAGAGATGTCTCAGTTGTAAAAATGAGGGTACTAACCATTTCCTTCAAGTCACCTTTTTGTAACCACTTGAAATTTTCATTTTCCCTTGGATAGTAGATTCAATTCCACTCTGTTGAATGCTCTCAGAAAAGGCTCTGAAATCCCACCCATCCTAAGCTTGCCCCACCAAAGTCTGTGCGGTTGAAAATGGAAGTTCACTTATGAAAAGAAACCAAAACTGTTCGTGCAAATGGATGGTAAACTGGACGTAAGTCCTTTTTCTGTCCTCATGTGTTGTCTCCTCTCCAGCTCATATGATGGAAAAAAATCAAGAAATAATGCATTCTTCTTCAGTTAAATAATGATGCATGAAATGTTATAAGCATTTATTCATTGCAAATGGCATCCAGTTTCCCCAAATTCCAGAGCAATCATGACATGATGGCTAAACCAAAGGGAGAAATTAATAGGAACGTTGCATAAAAGCAAAATGCAAAACACTAGACTTGTTTTAAGTCTTAAAAGTAAACAGGAGCCAGTGCTGTAGCTTAGGGGATAAGGTCACCACCTGCACTGCTGGCATCCCATATGGGCACCGGTTTGGGTCCCGGCTGCTCTACTCCCGATCCAGCTCTCTGCTGTGGCCTGGGAAAGCAGTAGAAGATGGCCCAAGTTCTTGGGCCCCTGCACCCACGTGGGAGACCCAGAAGAAGCTCCTGGCTCCTGGCTTCGGATCAGCCCAGCCCCAGCTGTTGTGCCCATCTTGGGGATGAACCAGTGGATGGAAGACCTCTCTCTCTCTCTCTCTATCTCTTTGCCTCTGCCTTTCTGCCTCTCAAACAAATGAAGAGAGAGAGAGAGAGAGAGAGAGAGAGAGAGAACAGCAAAAGAAACATTGTTTTTTTATTTTTAACAACCTGAATGAAACAAGTTAGTTTAAAAACACTAATATGAAGAAAAGAGGATTGTTGCATTACTTGTATATAAACAGTCAAATATTTGCTTTCATGGTTCTTTGTTCTTTAACCTTCTCACCTGCTGGTGAACACAGAACAGTCGGTATTTTGCTTTTGGTGTTGGTGATACAGAATTGCAAACACTGCTGCTGGTTTTGACATTGAAGGAGCAGATGATCCGATTTGAAACACTCTAGCATTCTGTAACCTGGCAGTTTGGTCCTGTACCTGAACAAAGGGGAATACTAGTCAGTTAAATTACGTGACCTCTGGGGTTCTCTGAAGAGCAGACTGAATGCATTCCCGGTGGGTGATTGGATTGGGGAGAAGAGGAATGTTCAGATTCTGTGGAGAATCACAGAGGGCACCACACCAGCCCAGAGCAAGGTGAAGGGCAAGCCGGCCCCGGGAATTAGGGGGTTGCAGCAACATTCCCAAAGCTTGACTGAGAACATATCAATAGTCTTAGAAATAACTACTAATGCTTCCCAATGGACCTCCTTTCAGGAGAATCCAGATTATAAAAACAGAGCAATACAGGTCATTGTAATATGATGGGTCTCTGTTTTAATGCATTTAGCTACACCAATTTTTATATACACCAAGCTAAGCTTACTTACTAAAGCACAAAATTATATCATTTAACTTATAAATTCAAAGTACAAACCCTAAGGGCATCATTGCACTGGACAAGACTGTATATTATTGCAAAGCCAATAGCCATTCTTCCCAGAACCAGGACGTGTATGGCATTGTCTCTTGCAATTTAATAGATAATTTTGTTAACGTACTGTGTAGCAGGCCATATTTTGACTAATTTAGACCTCAGAAAAATCCAATGAAGTATGGGTACTCTAATTGTTATCATTTAACAAATAAATCAAAGGTGCACAGGTTTAAAAAAGTTACCCAAAGTTCTCTCTCTAGTGAGTATTCAAATCCAAGCATTCTGGTCTGGGTGGCTACACTCCTAAGCCACTATAACATCTGTTTTCCAGCAGGAGACAACTCAGTCTTGCTCAAAGCTAGTCTCAAATGCACTCACTTTTCAAAAATTTGTCAAGGCCGAGACCACCTTGGATATACATCAAGTATCTCTTTGCCACTGATAAAGCGTTCTTCTTTCTCTGCTACTCCACTGCTCCTCCAGTGCTATCCGCTCACTGTCTGTAGCAGCTCAGGCTCAGAAGACTGCTTAGAGCTCATCCCATATCCAAAGCATGAGCTCGAGTCCACACATCACTCATTCAGAGGAAACCATCTACAATACAAATCAGCCTCTTTTCTTCCATCATTGCCCCTTGTACGTGACATGTTACTACATGAAGATCCTCTTCCCACCAAATACCACTGAGTGGAAAGGAAATGGAGATGAACCTATAAAAGACACAAAACTGTACATACAAGCTGAACTATTTCATAGCCTCCTCGAACTCCTGTGCTAGGGGGAACTGTGCCAAAGACAGCATTTTTTTAAACTTTTATTTAGTAAATATAAATTTCCAAAGTACAGCTTGTGGATTACAATGGCTTCCCCCCCTATAACTTCCCTCCCACCCACAACCCTCCCATCTCCCGCTCCCTCTCCCATTCCATTCACATCAAGATTCATTTTTAATTCTCTTTATATACAGAAGCTCAATTTAGTATATATTAAGTAAAGATTTCAAAGTTTGCACCCACACAGAAACACAAAGTGTAAAATACTGTTTCAGCATTACTAGTTATAGCATTAATTCACATTGAACAACACATTAAGGACAGAGATCCTACATGAAGAGTAAGTGCACAGTGACTCCTGTTGTTGACTTAACAAATTGACACTCTTGTTTATGGTGTCAGTAATCACCCCAGGCTCTTGTCATGAGTTGCCAAGGCTATGGAAGCCTTTTGAGTTTGCCAACTTCAATCTTATTTAGACAAGGTCAAAGTCAAAGTGGAAGCTCATTCCTCCCTTCATAGAAAGGTACCTCCTTCTTTGATGACCTGTTCTTTCTACTGGGATCTCACTCACAGAGATCTCTCATTTAAGTCCTTTTTTGCCAGAGTGTCTTGGCTTTCCATGCCTAAAATACTCTCATGGCCTCTTCTGCCAGATCCGAATGCCTTAAGGGCTGATTCTGAGGCCAGAGTGCTGTTTAGGACATCTGCCATTCTATGAGTCTGCTGTGTATCTCGCTTCCCATGTTGGATCATTCTCTCCCTTTTTTATTCTATCAGTTAGTATTAGCAGACACAAAGGCAACATTTTAATGAAAGCATGATTAATTTTTTTAAACTTTTCATTTATTTAAAATGTAGAGTATCAGAGATGAGATCTTCCATTTGTTGATTCGTTCCCCAAATGCCAACGAGAACCAGGGTTGGACCACACCAAATTTAGGAGCCCAAAACTCAGTCCAGGTCTCCCTCATCTATGGCAGGAATCCAAGTAATTGAGCCATCATCTATACTTCCCACTCTGTACATGAGCAAGAAGTGGATGGGAAGTAGCTCTAGGAGTGAAACTCAGCCACTCTGATACAGGATATAGGCAGTCCAAGCAATGTCTTAACTGGTTTGGCAAACATTCATCCCATTTATTTATTCTTTCTTTTTTATTTTTTTTATTTGACAGGTAGAGTTACAGACAGTGAGAGAGAGAGACAGAGAGAAAGGTCTTCCTTCCATTGGTTCACTCCCCAAATGGCCCCCACGGTCGGTGCTGTGCCAATCGGAAGCCAGGAGCCAGGTGCTTCCTCCTGGTCTCCCACTTGGGTGCAGGGGCCCAGGCACTTGGGCCATCCTCCACTGCCCTCCTGGGCCACAGCAGAGAGCTGGACTGGAAGAGGAGCAACCAGGACTGGAACCCAGTGCTCATATGGGATGCCAGTGCTGCAGGAGGAGGATTAACCAAGTGAGCCACAGCGCAGGCCCCCCATTTGTTTATTCTTATGAAGAAAACACCTGCTGTGTGACACACTGGGGACGGAGGGAGGAGTAGTATATTAATTTGTTGACCCGTATTTTGGAACACAAGAAGAGGTACATGGACTTTTGGCCAATGGAAGAGGCATTGAAAATGCTCTTCTGCATAGACTTGAGCATGTATACAAGTCAGTAGACCCCCTAAGAAACCACCTCACTGCCTACATAGTCTGAGTATTCTGGAGTAGGAGAGAGAACACTGGACTCTGCATCCAACTCCCGTTTTCTTGTATATTTCTCCTTTGTCTCAATTCTATTCCTCTCAGTTTTCTCATCTATAAAATCATCTGTAAAATAAAGATTTCAGCTTAATGATTCCACCTCTTAAGGGTCTATGAACATTTATTATTGGATCTGATGCTAAGAAAATAGATAAGATAGACTTCAAAGATTCCTTGGTGTTGGTTCTTGGACCAGAGCATCTTTACACTAGAGCTCAACCAGCAGAAGAAAAATCCCCAGCCAACAGCAGGCTCAACAAAAATAGTCACTAGTTTTTGATTGTATTCCTTTGACTTTAACATGGAAGACACAAAGAGTACTGTTACAACAAAAAGGCATAGAAAGAGTGAGGGACTACTACCATATGTGCCTAAATCCTTACTTAGCTGCGCTGCCGTCAACAAGCAAGCAAAATTTTGTTCAACCTTTAGTACAAATAAGAACCAGGAATTCAGCAGATGCCAAGCCCTGGCACTCACTAGGGTACACAGTTTCCAGGGACTAAGCACTCCTGCCACCCTTCTCAACTCAACCAGATGCTTTCAAGGTTACCTCCTTGCATGCAAAAATAAACAAGCAGCAGTGTTCTTCAGGGAATGTACTGGTTCACATCACAAAGCACCAGGGGCTCAGGATGAGACAAACAGGTGCCTATGCCACAAAATTTAAGGAGGCAAAATAATGTGAGTGCTGGCTGTGCCCTTGCAGAACCCTAAAAGTGAGCATGAGCTTCCTTAAATTCTGTGCCCCAGGCTCCTAACTCTTGAGATCAAGCAATTGCAGATTCCAAACTTGCGCAACCTTCCGCCTCCTTAATTTCGGCGCCCTAAGCACTTCAGTTGTCTCATCCAGGGCCAGACACTGGTGCTATGTGAAGTGAACCAGTACATTTCACTCACAGGGAACCACTGCTTGTTTATTTTCACAGACAAGAAGGTAACCTTGAATGCACCTGGTGAGTCTAGGAGCATGTCAGGCACTCTCCAACCCTGGAAGCAGATCACCTTCAGTGTGTGCCAGGGTCTGGAGTCTACTGAATTACTCACTCTTATTTGTTCAGAAGGCCAAATGAAACTCACCTAGTCCTGACCCTGCAGCATGCACTGAGATGTGCACAGTCAAAACAGGCTCGTGGGTTTGAATGCTCTCACTCCTCTTCACCATGTTATTCTTGATGATCATTTTAACCAGATCCACAAGGAAATTTAATAAACAAATGGGGCTCAAGGCAAATTCATTTGTCTAAACCTTAAAATGGTGATTTTTTTTAAAAATTAATGTGCATATATAACATCTGTGGGACATCTTAAAAGTGTATATTCCACCTCCATTGCTGTGCTAGGGCTGCCGTAACAAAGTACCATATACTAGGCCTCATAAGCAATGGAAATGTATTGTCTCACAGTGCTGAGGGCTCCAGGTCCAAGATCAAGTGTTGGTTCCTTCTGAGGTCACTCTCCTTAGCTTGTATGTAGTATCTTCTCCCTAGTCTTCACAAAATCTTCCCATGTGTCTGTGTCCTCATCTCCTCTTCATCTAAGGACATCAGTCAGAATGGATGATGGAACCATCCTCACGGCCTCAATTTAACATGAACACCTCTTTAAAGAATCTGTTTCCACGGGCCAGAGTTGTGGTTTATCAGGTAAGGCTGCCACCTGTGACCCTGGCATGCCATATGGGCACAGGTTAAAGTCCTAGATGCTCCACCTTCCATCCACCTCCCTACTAATGGCCTAGGAAAAACAGCAGACAATGGTCCACATATTTGGGGTGCTGCCACCCTCTTTGGAGAACTCGATAAAGCTCCTGGCTCCTAGCAGCAGTCTGGACTAACCCCAACTGATGCAACCATCTGGAAATTGAACCAGAAGATGAAAGGTACACCTCTCTCTCTCTCTCTCTCTCTCTCTTTCTCTCTCTCTCTCTCTCTCTCTCGTAACTCCTCTCCCTCTGTAACTCTTGCAAATAAATAAATATTGTTTTTAAAAAAAAGAGCCTATTTTCAAATGCAGCTACATTCTGAGGCACTAAGGTTA